ACAAAACTACTCTGGAAGAGAGAAATCACTTCCATAGTAGCTAATTTAGTGGGACCTTACCAAGATATTTTGAAATAGAATGGAATGGAATAGGATAGAATAGAGCATAAGTGTCATCGCAACATGCAGGGACTTTAGGAGAAAGTATTTGTGCAAAAAGTTTTAAAATTCAGCTGTGTAGGTGAGTTATTTAAAGTTGGTTTCATTTCACTGAAGAGGAAGCAGACAAGGATAACTTCATTTAAGAATAGCAAGTCAAGACCTTTTAAGGAACAGAGAAAGAGGAAAGAAGATTAAATGCTCTTACAAAAAAATTCTAAAGTGGCAAGTGAAATGCAAATTTTAAATATTCCCCAGCTAGTCAATAAATCCTTACAAATGGCTGGATTGTTCATCAGAATTGAAATAAGTCCTTGAACTTTGATTTTCATTAGTCTGGGTACATGCTGTTTAAAGAATCTTTAAATTTAGGTCATCACCTGTGTTGCAAAACATCTGACAGGAGAAACAAATTACCTCCCCACAGACTCATCTCCTTTTCCTTCATTTTTCTCCATTATTCAAAATGAAGATAACAATGACCCCCTCACTGGGTCTTCATCAAGTGTTTTTGGCTGGAATAAGTGTCTCTAGTCAAAAGAAGGGTTTAATTTCTGGAAAGGCAATTTTAGTTGTTTTGATTAGGCAATTCTGTGACAAAAGAACTAGGTATTGCATCCGAGTGGAGCCAGCTGTGTTTCCTTTGTTAGCTGCTGAGGTGTTTAGGAAGGCATCTCAGGAAACTGATGACCCAGCAGGTGGGAGATGGATAGGCCAGGAGGGCAGAGTGCTCTCCTTTCAGCCAAAATTGTGATTGCTTCTATTACCAACAAGAGGGTTCATTTTGATATTTTACTAGTATTGTAAGATTTATCACTTAGGACCATTTTGGCTAAGAAAGGGAAAAGCCAAATCATGTTCCTTAAGAGAGCATATTGACCTTCAGTTCTGAAGAGCTTGGAGGTGGCACTGGCATCAGACACAGACTGATTGGAAGGTTTGATAAATCCATCAGGACCTGGTTTCTCCCAGTATGTTTCTTCACTTGGCTCTCCTCCTCGTGGATTTTCACAGCTTGAGAACTTCCTGCTCACAAGGAGTCTGAAGCAGCTTTGGCACTTAATTCTTAGTCTCAGCTAGTGCATGGGAAAGTGGCAATGGTCCCTTTCTAAGGACTCCTTGCAAAATCTTTTGAATCAATGACTGTAACCTAGTGCTTGGCTTTAATAGAGGTCATATCCTCCACAGAAATCCATGCAAAGTTTGTGAGTTGTGAATGGAGGATAGAGAATTCTTTAGAGGGAAATGAAGATATTTGAAAAAGGAGAAGATCGTGGAGTGGAGACAAGATGGCTGACCAGAGACATCACCTACCAGTTCATCTCAGAAAGAAGAAAAAGTTTTAGATGAAAAAGAAAAACAAACAAACATAGATCAGGTACAATTCCAAGGGGAAAGTGCCACAACCTACCAGAGAATCCACAGGAAGAAGTTGAAGGGCAAGTAAAGAAGGAGCAAGATATCAGCAAAGATCAACCCCCAAGAAGCTTGGAGTCCAGCAAAAAGCATAAGTGGAGCTGTTTGTTTCTCCCTCCCTCACATCTCTGGTAGTCAGCAGGCTCCCGAGCTGCTGGAGAGCCTTTCTGCCCTCACAAGACCCAAAGCTGCTGCCACCAGTGAACTGGAGCTTCTTGAGGACAGAGCACGAGGCTGCCAGCTCCTTTGGGATGCTTCTGGTTACCACAGACTGAGCCAAGATGCCAGGTGCCATATTGCTTTTCCACTCACTGTATGCCTTTGTCCTCCTCAAGGAGCTTCAGCTCCTCAGGTTTCTTCTCATTCATTCCCACACAAAAGTTTCCCAACTCTGTCCCAGGCTGTGGAAGCCACAAGGACTGGTGGGACCTATGGGATCGGCATGATCCCAGAGACTGGACATTCCAGGTAGGCGGCCTTCTGGAGAGGGGGACAGAGATGATCAGAGTGCTAGCCTTCCTCCATTCAGACTATTCTCCTCCTCTTCCCCCACCTGCCCACAGCTGCGGAGAGATTTTTGAGCTGGGCCTCTCTGGAGCAGCTATTTCCCTCTGTTGATGGATCCACCATACCAAGTATTCCGCAGAGAGTGAGGCTCAAACCTCTCCTCTTAAAGACCTGCATAGAAGTAAGGGGTGCTCAGATGGTGAGCTTCCTGCCCATCAGACTTTCCTGGTGCTGCTTGCTCGGCTGCTCCACCAAAGCCGGGCACACCCCAAAGCAGAGGGACATCAGACCTGCTTGAGCACACCATAGACAACTCAGGACCAGCACACGTCTCACTGGCACAGTCAGGGATTGATCTTTGGGGACCCAGGGACAGGCTCATAGGTCATATCCTGTACCCTCAGGACTCAGTCTTATTGCTTGGGGACATAGATGGGAGATTTGTGAACTAATCTCAGGTGAAGGTTCCCTCACCTGAGAATGGGCAGAAATGAAAAGAAAGTGCAGCATGTGTACCAGCTACATCACATTCATGGAGCACCCTTCCCCACACAGGAAAGCCATGCTCTCAGGCCAGGGCAGGATCCTGGACAGGGAAGCTCCCAGCACACAGGGCATTGCTGGGGAGCTGGGCTGGTTTGGGATCCTGCCTGCTAGCAAATTCTGGAGGGAGACCAAATGGAAAGAGTCACAGGAAAAGTGTGAAATCTGCTCCTGACAGCCAGATTATGAATCGCATGTGGCCCTCCCCCACAAACAGACTTTCTGTCTGGGTGGGACCACTTTAGCCCTTCTCTGACAGATTTCCCCAGAAGACTGGGATCAGACCTTTGACCCCTGCCAAGACAGCTACTTTATCAGCTTTTATAGGCCCTGAGGACAGGCTCACCCAACCCAGCCCTGCCCAGCCTCACTTTCTTACCTGCCCCTGCTGTGTGGAGAATAATGACTCACCTGGAAGTTCCAGGGCTCCACCCACCACTTGGAGAATTCAAGTGCTTCTCCCGAGGAGCCAGAGCTAATCACAGGTCCCCAAAACAACACTGCAGCCTTTTTCATCTGGCAAGCACCACCCACTGACAGGGAGGTCAATTTGCATGCCCTTTACAGCATTTACTGACTCAATTATACAGAGTGTGGTCAATTCTTACCCATGAACACCACCTATTGTCTCAGAGATTAAACGGAGTTTGCCAATATAATTCATACTATTAAGAAGACAACACAGCTGGGAACAGAAAAAGAATCTCAAAGACCTCCTCCATCATCACAGAAAAACAGGGAATCTGTCCACACATATAGTTCATCACTCCTCTAGCCTCTAAACAACTATCATCTGAGAAAACCACCACACTAAAGATATCTATAACCAAGGCATCCATCCAGAACCTAGACAGCTATCAAACACCCACAAGCAAAGCCAAAGGTTCTTACCCAACACATGCCACAGACATGCCCTTACAAGTGTGTGGGGGGAAAGCCCCAGCTAAACAAAAGTAAATCTAAAAATAAGAAGCAACAGCTACTCCAGATGAGAAGGAATCAGCACAAGAACTTTGGAAATATGAAAAATCAGATCAAAAGGACACCCTCAAAGGAGAACACCAACTCTCTAGCAATGGTTACCAACCAAAATGGAAATATTGAAATGGCAGATAAAGAATTCCAAATATGGATTATAAGGAAGCTCAATGAAAGCCAATGGAAAACCAACTCAAAGAAACCAGAAAAGGGAAGATGGAATGGCAGGTGGTTAAACACACACACACACACACACACACACACACACACACACACACGGCAAAAATGAATATCATTTTATATGTTAGTCTGGTTACTTAGCCATGGTGTAATATCTTCCTGAGGTAAAATGCAATTTTTGTTTGTTTTTCCAGTTCTTTCTTATTACATACTTGAATGGATTATATAGCTTTGGGGAAAATGTGGAGAATGTATGAGTAATCTTTTGCTCTGAAGGAAAGGGAAAAAGAGCATTACCATACACTGACAACTACCATGACTTCCATTTTTAAAAGTTTATTTTCTTTAGAGTCAAATGGTCTACCACTGAGCTATACTGAGGTAATGCATACGTTAGTTTCATTTAGCCATTCCATAAATGGCATGCATATTTCAAAACATAATGCTGTGCCCAAAAATATATATAACTTTTATGTTAATCAAAAATAAATGGGACTGGGTACAATGGCTCATGCCTGTATCCAACACTCTGAGAGGCCAAGGTGAAAGGATTGCTTGAGCTCAGGAGTTCAAGACCAGCCTGAGCAAGAGAAAGATTCCACCTCTACTAAACATAGAGAAATTAGCCAGGCATCATTGTAGTGTACAATGCTACCTGGGGGAACAGAGTGAGACTCTGACAGAAGAAAGAAAAGAAAGAAAAGAAAAGAAAAGAAAAGAAAAGAAAAGAAAAGAAAAGAAGAGAGAGGGAGGGAGGGAGGAAGGAAGGGAGGGAGAAAGAAAGAGAGAGAGAAAGAAAGAAAGAAAGAAAGAAAGAAAGAAAGAAAGAAAGAAAGAAAGAAAGAAAGAAAGAAAGAAAGAAAGAAAAGAACGAACATTTCTTCCCTGTATTTAACACACACAAATAGATATTAAAATAATACATTGAATATCTGTGGTTTCAGAACTCTAATAAAAAATAAATATCGCCAACACAACTAAATACCCCTTGGAACTCTCCCCAATATTTTTCCTACCTTTCTCAGAAAAATGCTGTCTTGAATTTAGTGATTTTTATTCCTATTCTTTTATTCATATTTTAACTAAAATTTCTATGAATTTCTAAGAAACATGAAGTATAGTTTTGCATGTTTATATATATATAGTAATATACATTTTGTAATTTTTTTCTCAATTACGTTTTATAATGTGTAGGTCTATTTCTTTCATTTTGCTATTGTGTATATTCATTTTTTGATGTTTGAATATATTCATTCATATATCTATTCATTCTCCAGGTGATGGACATTTGCACTGATTACAGATCTTGCTGTTAGAAATAATATGGTCATGAATGTTTTTCTGTATGTTTGCTGGCATAGATGTTCAAGAACACTTCAAGGGTATATACCAAGAAGTGGAATCGCCAGCTCAGGGAAGTTGTGCAACTTCAATTTTACGTTACTGTCAAATTATTTTTCAAAGAGGTGGTACCAATTTACACATTCACTGGCAAAGTCTAAATATCCCTGTAGCTCTATATCCTTGCCCACATATGATATCACCAGATCTTTTAAATTTTTTGCCAGCAAAATGAATGTGTTTGTGATTTGAATTTTAATTTTCATGATTACTAATGAGATAGATCATTTTGCCATATCTATACTGGTTATTAAAGTTTCTTCTGTGAATTTTCTGTTTATCTTTGCTGCTCTCCCCAGATTATTTAACTTCTTAGTGCTTTATAATTTTTAGTGCTTTTTTTAATTTTTAATTTTAATTATTATGGATACATAATAATTGTGCATATGGGGCGAATATGGTGTTTTGATGCAGACATAATGTGTAATGATCAAATCAGAGTAATTGGGATATATATAACCTCAAGCATTTATCATTCCTTTGGATTAGGAGCATTCCAATTCTACCTTTTCAGTTATTCTGAAATATATAATATTACATATTTATCATGTCTTTTTATTGGAGGGGGTGTTATGTGTGCTGCAAATATTCTTTCTTAGTTTTTAAATTGTCATTGTGTAAGGCATATTTCTTAATAAACAAAAAAATTAATTATAATATTATCGAAATTACTTCATATTTTTTGTTTGTTGTGTCCTAGTTAAGCAATTGTTTCTTACCTTAATTTAACAAGCCGTTTTTCTATATGCTCAGTGGGCGTTCCCCATTGCCAGGTGAACCTCACAGCGAAAATTCCACAGAAGAAGAAAGCCCATCACAAAGAGAGAGATGGGTAGAAACCTGTTCTAAATTAGCTATGTCTATAAATAAATCTTTGCCAAGCAAGTAAGCTACACCAGGAAAAAATGATTTCTTTGGGAAAGATCCTTCATCCCCTATAAGATGCTTGTAGGATCTTGAACAACAGGAGTGCCCCATCCTAGCTGCATCTAATGTATCTGAAGGGCAGCTGGAGAAGGCCTTGAGCGCAGGTTCAAACACCCACAAACCTATGCCTGAGTATGTTTTTTTAGGAGTTCTGGCTCTTTCACCTAGACTGGAGTGCAGTGGTGCAATCATAGCTTACTGCAGCCTTGAACTCCTGGACTCACATGATCCTCCCGCCTCAGCCTCTGGAATAGCTGGGACTAGAGGCATGTACCATCGTGTTCACCTTTCCTTGAGCATTTTATGCATCTTTTCTTAACCCCCGACCCTCCACACCACCATGTCCAAGTTGGCAGCCTGGTCCATGCTGTTGAGTGACCCACACTTGAGTGGCTGACAGCTGCTCCTCTGTGTGATTCTCAATTTGAAGCCAAAACAAGAGTGCCTACTAACCCCACCTAAGATTAGGAAACTTGCTCCCTCCCTTCTCCTCTTCCTCCTCCTTCTCCTTCTCTCTCTCTCTCTCTCTCTCTTTCAAGTCAGAAATATTTTCATTTGCCAACCAGAAAAGTATTCTGAATACGAAACATGTAAGGTAGCTGCTTTTATCCCTGACCTAATTTTTGAAATCATTTTAATTTAAGAACTTTTCTCCAGCATTATTCATATAGCCATGTGAGGCATTGGGCTGGTGAAGTAAAGAAAGAAGTCATCTGGGCTACAAGAAACTAGTGTTTATTGTCACCTAGTTTAAGTCTACCAACACAGGGGAGCAAGCTCTGGGGTGTGCCAGTCTTCGATGACATTGTAGGACTTAGGCTCTTTGTTAAATTGCAATAAAATCTCCATTCTCCTCCCAATCCCCTCCCCCTCTCCCATCACTGTAACAACTCGTATCTCATAATAGGTAATCAGATCCTCTGTTGTCTCAATCTACTCACTGCACCACCAATCAGTCTGTGAATGGCCCAGGTGCCTCTGGAGGTTTCCTGACACCTCAACACGTGCCCTAGATCTCCCAAGGCCAGCAGGCTTGCGTTTGCAAAGAACCCCTGAGTAGAGCGAGAGGCCAGAGTGATCAGGGTAGGATCAGCGGGAGGAACTAATCTGATGTGACAGTAAACGTTCTCTCCATGCAATGGCACTCAGCATTTCAGTTTCAGTTTCTCTCATTTTTAAAAAAATTTACAAAAAATTGAGCAATATCCCAGTGACTTGTTTCATAATTCAAACAACTGATTTTATAAACTATCATATATCGAGCTATTATTTATTTTTCCCGCGTGGACATCAGGATGAAGAAATTATATTGGAATATTTTTGTGGGGATCATGCCCCTCTTTTTCCCTTTCCTCTTCCCCTGCGCTATCTTTCTCCTGTTAATTTAATAGCTTCTATTGCAATAAGCAATGTGTTTGGGGTGGGTGAGGTTGTGATGGTTAATTTTATGTGTCAACTTAACTGGGCCATGGGTGCCCAGGTTTTAGGTCAAATATTATTCTGGGTGTTTCAGTAGGGTATTCTTGGAACAGATTAACATATAAAAATGTGGAGTGAGTAAAGCAGATGGCCCTCCCTAATGTGGGCGGGCCTCATCCAAGCAGTTGGTTGTCAAAATAGAACCAAAAGGCTGACCCCAGGGAAGAGGGAATTTTTCCTGCCCAACAGTCTTTGAGCTAGGACATCAGGGTTTGTTTGTTTGTTGTTTCCCCTGCCTTCACACCTGGACCGAAATATCAGCTCTTGTTGGGTCTTGGGCCTGCTGGATTCCAGGCTGAAACTTACATGATCAGCTCTCCTTGGTCTCCAGCTTCTTGACTATAGATCTTGAGACCTGTCAGCCTCCAAAATCATGTGGGCCAATTTCTTATAATGCGCGCACACACACACACCCTGTTGGTTCTGTTCCTTGGTGCAACCTTGACTAATAAAGGACTGTTGTCACTCAAAGCTCAAAACTCAAAGCTCAAAGTGAGATCATGGGGTCTTTTCAACCTTGAAGAAAGTCATACTTATTTTAAAGGCTGTTATACTTTTCAAAAAAAGAAAGACCCAAAAAATCTTTCAAAAGTGCTTTCCCTTTCATGCTGGCTATCCAAGGCAATTCATTTTATTTTGATTGTGCACTTTCCTTTGCTCTGTCTCAGCTTTAGAAAGGTGGGTATTCACCTCCCTGGGAGAGTCTTTGTCTAGCTCTGCAGAGCTTTGGCACCATTAGTCTGATCTCTTCTTTCTTATAAAAAGCAGCATGCATTGGCCGTTGGGGAGGAGCTGGTCACAGGTAGAAAGGGCACACCAGCTACTCTTCCTCCAGAGAGAGCTGATGTGAGTATTGCTCTCCAGAGAAGTGTATACAGTCTCTATAACCAGGATCATGACCACGAAGTCGTCTGCCTGGCATGGAAACACTGTTCATACTCACTTCTGCCTGGCACAGAAGCGCTGCTTACACTCATTTGCATATCTGCCATTGGATAAGACTGTGGTTTTCTCCCTGGAAGCAAGTCTGGACTCGATCCGCACAGGGAGAGCGCAGAGCACGATGCTAGGTGAACAGTGAGGGGTTGGAGGGTGGGGGAGTGAATGGTGAGGCATTGAAGAACAATGAGATTGGATGGGAGGAGTGGGGAGAACCCCTAACAAACAGATTCTCACTGAGTCTGTTCAGTCCTTCAGCAAACCACCCCCTCCAGATGATGTCTCATGTCGAGATGGAAGAAGAGCATTTGGGCTCTAAAAGGGAACATTTGGGATCCCAGATATGGGCTGCATGACCAGGTCCAGGGCTGGTCCTTGTGCCTGAAGTACAATCTTCACAGTCACATGTAGTTTTCATGAGCCAAGTCAACACCCAGCATCATAGCCTAAGAGAAAACTTTTTGTGGATGACACAGTCCACTTAGATTGAAGAAAATTCTCACTCATTCTTTTCTGTAGTATTTTTCCAGTGTTTTTCATCAGGTCCTGGAGGGCCAAACCTTTGCAAACTGTAGTTTTAAAACTCAGAAAACACAATGATTTCTGGAGTCTTGGTGATCCAGAAAGGTCAACAAGTTGAGAAGGAGTCCCAAGAGTGGTTCTTTCTGAAGTAATTTTGTTCTGTTCACTTGAAACTTTCTGACTTTTCATCCTTTTATGGCTCTCAGATTCCAGGAAACCCAGTTTCAACGATCTGCACTTTGCCTCTACTTTTTTACTTAAAGAAACAAAGAAAGTGTTGCAGAATCTCCCGTATATAAAGGAATCAACATCCTATTTAAAATAGTGATTAAAATTCCAACCACAGATAAACCTAGATCTTTGCATTTGATCCCATAGGTCTCCTTCTCTATGGGGTCTCTTTCTTCCATTCACACTTTTGTCCCCCTTTCACTGGCTCCAAGGAAAGGCTACTTCCCCTATGTTGCTTTTAACCTCTGGCCCAACTATTGATGTTTTTAAAAACCTAACCTCTAAGCATATGAGACAACACTGAATTTCCAAAAAGACTTGGTAAAAGCCAAGGATGATAAAAAGAAAAGAAGCATAGAGAAGACACAAAGTAAATAAGTCATTCAATTTTCATTCTTCATTCAATCCTTCAATTCAATCAACAAGCATTTCTTGAGCACCCACTAAGTGGCAGGATCAGAAGATATAATGATGAGCAGTTCACAAGCTCCTGCCTTCATAGAACTTATAGTCTAGCAGCAGTTTGGGTTTATGTTACAGAAGTTGTGAGTCTCTCATAGCACATTGCTTTCAGTGATCTAAATTCCTCTTCACCTCCATATCCCCTTACAAGTCAAAACAAATAAAAAGTTCAGGAAGAAAATGCTATCCTGGGGCTTGGAATCTAATCTTAAATACCTAAGAGCTTCTGACTCTGATTTCCCTCTGTGGTCTTCCCATGAGTCTCACTCGTTTTCATTATTCACTTCAGGGACTCAAATACTGGGGCTTCTTATGTCCTGGGAGGGAGAGGACTGTGCCACATGTCAGCTGCAAATTTGGAACTTTATCATTAACTTAATAGATACTTAGAATCAAGACCACTGGAAGTCAGTAAAGGGAATGTTAAGGTTCTCTAAAAGGAAGGTTTGGGGTTGCAAAGAACAGGAGATAATTCAGTCTTGAGGGAAATAGGCAAAGCTAGACCTCAGACCCGATTCTTCCTGTGGGTTTTGTTTGTTCATTGTGTGTGTGCACGTGTATGCATTATGGTGGATAAGACACTAGCAGAGACCA